TTAATTTTCCTTGGAGTGCGGTATTTTTGTTATTTTACTGTTCACGACGGGAATCTTTTTGCAAAATCTACAAAATACTATTTCAAATTTTGATAAACTTTGTTTTGTCTCAATTCAGAATAAAAAATGTACATTTCTGTCTCTAGTCCAACAATAACAACAATGCAAATACCCCTTAAGCTACACTACTTTAACAATATTTATAGAAACATATATGAATATGATAAAATGTCCATACGCCTTTCGCATGCTGCTGAAATATTTATGTTTTTTCCGATACGAAATATATTAAAAAAAAGCAATATTAACTTGTTTAGTATAGGCTGTCCCGTGTTATTATAAAATTACGTAACTTTATGATTTGCATATTTGACTGGCTAAGACATACAATGTCTTAGAATGTTTGGACCAATATATTTTTTTTTAACTGATTCAATTTCACTAAATGGAATACAACCATAAAATGCCTTTCGATATCTGACTTATGTTTATCAACTTTAGATAACGCATTGTGATTGTTGTGGTACGATCGTTACATATATGTAATGTTTTGTCGACTTGATCGTCTTTTCATCGATTTCGTTTATTGCCATGACGGTATCTGTTTTTTTTTTCAACTTATGAGTTTTAAATGTATCTATGTTGTCTTCCGCCATTTTTGAAAATTCCAAAAACTGTAAAAAAAAATATGTTTTGTTGAAGCCTTCAAAGTTATCCAAAGAAAAAAAATGATCAAACTGAATTTAGAGAATATTCAAATCATGATCAACATTGTCTAACTGTTGAATACTTTGAATACTAGTATTTCAGATAAAAACTGGTATGCTTTGGTCTGATCTTGATTCAATTACATGCCAAAATAATTAATTACATAACAATTCCAGGCTTGTCATTTCAATTGAATTACAATACAACTCATCAAATATACAAGGCTCAACATTCGCCAGATGCGCGTTTCGTAAACAGAAGACTAGTCAATGTCGCTTGGTTGAAACAGTTTGAATGCCATTACAAAGTTGAGGAGTAATAAATAAAGTAAATTCCAAAAAATCTGTGCCAAATAGGCTAATTAATATAAGTTGATCAGTATGGAAGAGTTAAATTTAATTCTGAATCACACTTCGGTTAATATGACATTCAGAAAAAAAGATATACACCAAAATTTGACAATTAGTATATTTGTAGGCAACATGACACACATAAATTGCATTATTATGAACCTGTGCCAAGTCAGGGGCTTGTAGTTCAGTGGTTGCCGTTGGTTCATGACTGTCATATTTGTTTTTCGTAAATTGTTTTGTTATGAATTAGGCCGTTAGTGGAAAATTGTCTCATTGGCAGTCATTTTTATTTTCATAAGATCATCATTGCATAATACAATAGCAAATTAATATACTTCTTGGCAATTAATTTTTTTTTTTTTTAATCTTTGGATATTTGTATGGTTGGAGAAAATAATTCGCGGATTTGTGGAAAATTAGGGTTATTGTTCATATCATTCAACTTGAAATATCAAGCAAATGGTATGTGAAAGGGTGATATATACGAAATATTTTGATGTTGTCAATGTTTTAAATATCAAAAACAAAACATTACCAAGCAAAAATGAGAACACAGTTAAACCTTTTGCCACTGAAAAATTGCATAAGGCCTTCTTCGTAATATATTTGCTAGCCCCGGGGAAATTGTGTTAACGACAGACAAACGGAAAACATTTTTTCTCTAAGCAATGAGCGTCGGAGTTTGATACACTATTACAGCAAAAGGTTAGGTTAAGTGATATAGACCTCATAATAAAACAAATATTATAAACGCAGGTTATTCGCATGAGAAATCAAAATTGTTAGAACGATTTTCATCCGTTTTGTGAAACACGGTACCTTTAGAAAGAGGCTGCAAATTAATTACCAGTTGATTGGTTGATTGATTGTGGTTGAGACAAATGAGAAACGATGTTAAATTGAAAAAAAATAGATTCGCATAAAACGTAAAAACTCAAATGATAGATAAATCTTTGTCGTTTACCATCAATTTTAATTTACACGATATTTAATATATTTGTCACGAATTTTATATTCATTAATAAATTCATCACTCAACATACATTTATATTTTCTGAATACCAAAGAAATTTAAGACCTTACAATTGAATAAAATTGAGAATGGAAATTGGGAATGTGTCAAAGAGACAACAACCCGACAAAATAGCAGAAAACAGCCCAAGGCCACAAATGGGTCTTCAACACAGCGATAAAATCCCGCACCCGGAGGCGGTTTTCAGTTGGCCCCAAAACCAAAATATATACTAGTTCAGCAAAAAAGAACGTCACACTAAACTCCGAAATATATAATTGAACTAAAATCAAAATAAAACATACAAAACAATCAAAGGCCAGAGGATAATGATTTGGTACAGGCGCAAAAATGCGGCAGGGATTAAACATGTTATGTGAGATCTCAACCCTCCCCTTATACCTCTTGCGAATGTAGAATAAACAAAAAACACGCAGCAATACATACAGTAAAACTCAGTTTAACAGAAGTCGGAGTCCGATGTTAAAAAAAGTAGCAGAAGAAACTAAGCAAAACGACAATGATCAACATAGATTAACAAAGGACCACTATCAGTTACTGACATGCCAGCTCCAGACCTCAATTAAACTGATTGAAAGATTATGTCTTCATCGTATGAAAATCAAGCACAATCCCTCCCGTTACGGGTTTAGTATCATTCCATCATAAAATATACGAGAAGAACATAACCCGTATCATGCCAACAACTAGTTTTAGAATAAATGTGTTTATTTTCGATGCAAAGACCCTATGAGTGATTCAATATTAATTCTAAGAAAATGCCATCTTTAATGACCTGACAATAGTATCATAACTATATCCCTTCTGAATAAGTCTGTTTAAAGGTTTTGTTAGCTTTTGAGGTGAATGATCACATTGTTGTGCTTTGTAAATAATATTACCATAAAAGATGGGATGTGAAATACCTGAACGTATAAGATGTCTGCACATTGATTTATATTTACGAATGATATCCGTGTACCGATGATAAAATTTAGTAAATGATTAGATAAGTTTGTGATTTTGAAAACCCTAGTGTAATAATGTTTCAGTATTGCAGAGATTTCTGTCGTTAACATCAAATACATTGTTGCATAAACGAACGAATCGAACAAGCTGAGATATGTAAACACTATCGAAAATCATCTCTATTATCGTAAATTTTGGTATTAAGCTTCCCTTTAAAGATATAGATATCAAGATCCAGGAAAGGGCAGTGTACATTATTATTATTAGCTTTATAAATGAAACACTGTTTGCATTCTAAGAACGATGTGGAATTTAAGTGGAGCATGATCATAATACTTTATAGCATTTAAATTGTTTTAGACTCATTTAGTCAAAAACAAACAGACAACGTAATAGCAAAAAACGAAAAACGACAAAAAGACAAACAACAGTACATAAAACATAACATAGAAACTAAAAACAGAGCAACATGAACCCAACCAAAAACATGGGTGATATCAGGTGTTCTGGAAGGATATTTAGACCCTTTTCCACATGTGAAACGCGTCCTGGTACTCCATTAACATCTGTTGAAAATGAATATCCAGTGATATGGCATTACGCAACAGCTTAATGGTTAAAACTTAGACAGACTTTGATGAAGGTTCATATTCAGTCACCATCAGGTTTTGATCATCATCATTAACTCAAATGTCCTAGTATCTATGTTCATCAGTCTGGAAAAGTTGAACTTAATTCTGAATCATACTTCGATTTATATGACATTCAGAAAAAAAAGACATACACCAAATTTGACAATTACTATTTGTAGGCAACATGACACACATATATTGCATAATTATTGAACAATTGCCAAAAAGAAAACAGAGAAAAAGACATTAAAGTCGTCATAATTACACAGAGAAGAGTAAATTAGCACATGAATGAGGTAACTTTTTCCACCAATTTCAGTATTTAGATTGCAAAAGTTCATAATAAGATCGCCTGTCATTGAAACAGTAACATTAGAAAGTTTTCCAATCTTACCTCTCGAAATAGCAAAAACTACTACCTAGTTGTTTTATGGCAAAATGGTATTTTCAACGCGCTGTAAAATTTGCATATGCATATTGGTTTTCAGCGAACTTATGAACAGGATATGAAATTACACTTGAAAACTATAGTAATCTTTTTAACTATTTCTTTCTCCCATTTTTTATTTCCTTATTTTTATGCTAATCAAAACAAACAATACCTTGTCTTTCTCCATATGCGCACCTTTTGACGTCATCAATATACCAATATAATGCATTCAATTAACACATGGTGTTCGTTGTTTTGGTGTAGTTCACCGATGGTTTTGTTTTCTTCGTTTGTTTTTTTTTTTTGCTATTGTTTTCGCTAGTTTAATATTCAAAGCGGTGCACTTTGTCCGTGACAAAATGTTTAGTAAATGTTAATTTAAGGCACTTTTAGTAAAAATTTATTGCATAAATATAAAAGGAGGAAATGTTTGCAGGTTGTCTTGTACCTGATGCCTCTAGTAACATGCAGCATGATAATTCATTGCATACATAATAAAGAACATTTTACTTAAGAAATCATTTTTTTATCAGACCACAACCTTCTTTCTAGGTTTTTTACATTAATTTGGCGACAATATTTGCAGTGACACGTGACTATTATTAACATGATGGATTGGCTTTTCAAAAACCGCATTTCCGTTATGGCGTACAGGAAAGAATATCTTATAAAATTCAATGATTTAAAAATATATGTTATAGAGAGACAATTTACACGTTTGACTATAATAATTGATAATTAACCTATGTATGTAAAGTCTGCGGTAGTCAAACATATCAAATGAATAAAATTTCTCGCATGATTGATCTGATTGACAGGATGTTTGGATCGATCAAGAACAGGTATATAAGAAAATGTTCTCTCAAAAATCTCTACTTTTACTTGCTATTCTTTAGTATAGGATCTTAGTGAAAATTTTCTAATTGAAATTTGTTTGATTATTATTTGAATATTGGGATATTTATTTGAAATGTATACACACATTGTCGCATATTTTTTCCTCGGAATTGTGTTACTTGTTAAAGAAATCAAAGGTAAGACAAACGAATATATTCTATGCAATAAACGTAATTGTTTTTTTTTTCTATCATTAAGTTTGTTTATATCTTGATTTATTAAAACAGACTTTAGATTTTCAGATGCTTTGGCATGAATCAAATATATATCATTCTCCATTTGTGGGTTGCCATTTTATACTAAAATTCTGGTATTAAAGCAAATAAATGTAATTATTATACATCATGTCAAAATGCCTCAGTTGACAATGTTTTTTCGGGGTAACAATCTGCTCTATCACCCTCTCAGCTATGTGTTATTTATATATTAGTCTTTTCTTAATAGAGACAGCAGCAGTGATACTCTAATGGAATAGTTAAGCATCTTTTTAATAGTTCTCTAAATACATTCACTCCCACGTGCACATTTCAATTCTTTTAGGCAAAATAAACTCTTTTTCTAAGCCACAGTATCAATTTATGTTAATTATCCATATTTTTTACGACGATATCCATTATACATTACAAAGCCTATAAAGAGCATGAACGAAATAATTGAAATGATAAATAATAAAAAAAGAATAAATAAATAAAAAGATTAGAACTTCTTCGATTTGATACTAATTTAAGGGGGTACCAAACACTTTGACTAAAATACAATTGGCTCGTTTAATTTTCATAAAATTTTGACAAAATATTTACTTTGACCAGTTTACAAAAATATAAAAATTTCAGGAAATTTGAACAACACAATTTACAGGAATAATTTCAATGGATATATAACAGGTTACCAAACACTAATTTTGATCATTGAGAAGCTTGATTTCTCTTAATACTAATAGCATGTGATTAAAACGTTCAGCTGATTTTTAAAGAGTTAACTCACTTAGGTGTTCTGTACCCCCTTAAATCAATCAGGAAATTATTTCATTTTGTAAAACCTATCTGCTCACCATTGCAAAATCCGTTGACGTTTATTTGTTTTCTTTTTCCAGGTATGTCTTTCAGCAAAACAGTTACCATTGAGGAAGAGCAACCACTGAAAGAGTGTCCAGTATTGGACTGTACTTACCCAAACTATCCTCTCAAATGTTTTACACCAACTGCATTTTGGTTCGGAGGAAGACTATGTCCTGGTTGCTTCAAAAATATCTGCTTAACTTCTCTGAATAATCAGCAACACAATCAGCATCAACAAAGACCATCTCTAAAACCACAGTATAAACTCTCACAGCCAGAACAACGTCAATACGGAACACGTCAGCCCAAACAACGAGCATATGATTCACCTCAGTTAGAAACTCGCAAATACGGCGAACCAGAGTATAAATCACCTCAGTATGAAGAACGCCAATATGAACAGCATCAGATGTCCCAGCGAGAAACAAATCAATACGAAACACGTCCATACAGCCAACAACCGTATAACCAGCAGTATAAAGCACCTCAATACGAAACACGTCAGAACAGCCAACAACAGTATAATCAACAGTATAAAGCACCTCAATACGAAACACGACAGAACAGTCAACAACAGTATAATCAACAGTATAAAGCACCTCAATACGGAACACGTCCGAACAGCCAACAACAGTATAACCAACAATATAAAGCACCTCAATACGAAACACAGTACAACCAGCCACAGTATCAAACATCCCAAAACGATAGGTATCAGCTTAATACACGTCAGAACAATCAACAACAGTATAAGACAGCTCAGTACGGTCAACATCAATATGAAGGAAATCAGTACAATCAACCCCAAAATGATCACCCAAAGTATATACAACATCAGTACAGACCTCCCCAGAACCGACAGCAGCAACGACACTATTACAATAAATGAGGTAGGTTTTCATGAGAATATATATTTTTGGCATTTGACTCTTACCAAATTTGACTTATTAGGGGTTATTAGCAATACGAATGTATCGCTTGAGAAACCAGTTATGTTTATTTTTAAGGATAACGTGCTATCACTGTCGGTTTCAGTGGAGCAACCCAAGTACATGGATTAAGGTATAAGTGTTTGTTGTTATAAAACTTTTATTTGTCCATTGTTTGAATTGTGTATTACTCATTTTCCTTGGGATTTCGAGTTTCGTTTTCCTTTTTGCAACTTGTTGGGTAATTTTTTCCTTTTTTGTAATGATATAACAAATACACCTTATTTCCGGTTTTCTTTGTTTCTTAAATATTGCAACTGATATTCAGTAGACTTTAACTTTCCTTAATTTACTAGAGGATGTTTTTCTTTAAGATTACACTCTTATAAATCTTGATCATAGTCTAAAATATCGTCCGTTTCTAATCTTGCTTCATTTAGATTGATGATACAAAAAATACAGAATATTGATGTAAATTAACGTGCACTCGAATATTTTTGGTAAAGACAAACAATAAAATGTTACATCTTTTTTCTTCAGAAAGCCTTGAGAATATCCAATGAAGGAATAACTCTTCATCCTTGTTTTCACCCGCTCTTTCATGAGTTGGATTACAAATGCGTCCATTATGCGATGTGAGATGGTTGAAATTGAGTAAAAGATGGCGACGTTTAATGAGCGAAAATGATGTCCTGTCTCAATAAATATGCAGTGGCATCCAAAAACTGGTATCGATATTCCACTTTGACAGTGCTGCTCATATTTACCAGAGTCGAAACTGTTTGGACTAACAGGAGCATTTGAGTATAAAAATGCGATAACAATGGCAAGCCATATAATATCGACTGGATTTAAGTGCATCTACGCTTCAGCGAAGACTGATATGAAATAGTTGCGAATCATCATAGAATGTCATATCTTAGATTCTGTTGTCGAATAATCTACCTCAAGAACTGTACTCAAATTCATTTAAGCCAAAGATTCAGTAGATTGACGTAGACATGTTCGGAGTACTATTCTGATATAGGTGTTTTACAATCAAGACGATTTAATATCAAGACAATCAAAATAATATTAATCCTAAAAAATATTATGTAATTGATTTCGAACAGTTGAATAAAATATGAACTGAAACTCGTTTATTAAAATACTTTGTTGAATCAACAGTTTCTTTCAAGTCTTATGACTATAATGAGGATGTTTGCATTTTTATAGGTTTTAATCAGTTGATTAAAGTGATCCCTACAGTTACAGGTTTCTCTATCTCTCTTATTTATTTACTATAAGAATAAAATGTTAAATTTTAGAATAATTTTGAACTTACATCATACCAGGTGTAAGGTGCACGTTGAATTAATATCAAATTAATTTGAAAAGAGAAATGAGTACAAATCAACACAATTAAAATTCTACTACTGTTGCAAGCTGCGGTTTTTCTGATCGATATGTTTCATGATCGACATATCAAACTTTAAACATGTCAATTGAATGTCAGTGTGATTAAGGACAAAAGTGAATGCATTGGAAATACCATGTGTGACATCAACATAATGCATGCCTTGTCTAGTTTAATATACATTTCAGCATGTATTACAATTTGTAAACCAAAACGATTGACATTGTACGTCCTGTTATTAGCATTTTCGGATCCTAAATCTCGTTCTTTTTAATATATGTTTGATTTTTTATCGTGAAGCACCAATAAGGTAATATATCGAAAAAGATATCAAAGACTAAAGAAACGAATTTTGATGATATTTCAGGAAAAAGAATGGCTCGCATTTGCAGAATTTATATTATTGGCATAAACTTTATGAACGTTTATTAAAAGATACACATTCTATGTAGTTGTGAATTGCAAACTCTCACAACAGTAGAATATTTAGTACATAATAGGTACTTAGATGCATAGAAGTATCCAATGTTTATGACTATTCTGTAGTCTGCGAATTCTTATGTTTTCCGTGTGATAAATTATAAATAATCAGAAACTAATTCCCACTTCTTTCCGATACCCTAACAACAATCTTTCAGCATTGCATCTTTAATGCCTTTTTACGACCACAGGGTTGATGCGGTTGCTAGTGGGCTTTTGTCCCAGATTGGAATCACCTGTTAAGTAGTCAGCACTGATGTGTTGTCATGAACTGTCATGAATATGCTCATTTAGTAAAATATTGAATTATTCGAAACACTTAGGTTGTATTTTTCCCCATGCTAAGATCTCATAAGTCCTTTTTCGTACAACCTTTCGGACCATTTTTATAATCACGCTCTTTAACTTCGTTTTTGAGTTGGCCTATCAACTGTTTTGGTTCGAGCGATTTCTTATGAGTCTTATGCGATGGATCAGTGAACGACATAAAACAAAATCCAAGCATATTTATTTGAGCATAAAAACAAAAGATATGTCCATCGTCTGTGAAGGGATGCCTGAATGTTATCTTTAACACACAACAGAAATCAAACAAACCTTCAAATTATATGACTTTTTGCATTTCCCTAACTTGAATTCACACACAAAAGAAATACCAAGGGGATATTCAAAATCACAAGTCAATGACTACGCCTTTGACATGTTTGAAAAACGAAAAAAAAAATTAAAAAAAAACAAGACAAACAACAGTGTGCACAACCCAACATATAAAACTAGCGATTAAGCAACACGAATCCAACCAAACCCCATGAGATATCTCATATGCTCCGGAAGGGTAAGCAGGACTTTGTCTAAGTGTGACACTCGTGTTGACTACAGATTTTGCATTTCTTTATGTAAATACCACAGGAGGAGACAGATCTTAGCTAACATGCTTTAAAGGCACTGACACATTTCAAAGGGCCAATTCGATTTCTTTATTATATTTATGCTAAATATGTACCTATAAGATAGCATTGCAGATACAGGTTACATACAGTATGTGTTAACAGAAAAGAAATGCATTACATACCCACTTTTACAGTGATATAGATATTGATAAAAGCTTATCAATTGGAAGACTTGGAACCCAGATGTACGAGACGGAAACTGAGATTAGCTGACATATGGAAGGACCTAACATTAACTTTTCCAAAATGTAACATTTTAATTGTTTTGTGGTTTTGTGGTAAACATGGTACATGAATTAAATGAAAATTACAAACTTAATAATTTCTTTCATAATAATAATAATACATATGTAAATATAATTACATAATCACTACCAGCACCACAAGCAATCGAACAAAAAAAAACATATCGTGGGGATATCTTTCAGAAATTTACAAATTGAGTTTTAAAAAAATCAGAATGAAACAACCGCGATACTAAAAAATAAGAACAAAAATGCCTGATTTTCAATTTTTGAAATTTCTTTCTCACTATAAAGGAAAGTTTTGAATGAACTGCTGTCACTCAACATAAGGAAGAAAACGTAAAGAATGCTTGTCAAAATATTTCTATTAATTTCAGGACAGTAAAATCTATGACAGTTTATTCAAAGTACTTAAACGTCCCGTTTATCAATCAAAATGTTTAATTAATCTGTTTGATAAGTGTACTCAATGTCATATCTATGGGTTGTAAAAAAAATTCAATACAACTATTTCTTCATAGTTTAATTACGCCAGTTATGTTGAGAACTGTTTTGATTCGAGCGCTTCTGGTGAGATTTATGTAGACGAATCCAGCTTGGTATCTTTGGTGAGTGGATACATTCAAAAACTTCAGAAAAAAAAAGAAAAAGAATAACAAAGTAAACACAAGAAAAACATCGGTTGTGCAATATTACTCGAATATATTGCTAGTCTGTTTATACTTTTTTTCAAATTAACTTTTCTTATGAGTGTAAAGACATATTGTGTCATTTATACAGGTTTCTTTTTCACAAATTATTGAGGATTATAGCAAATGATATAGACAATTAAGACATCATATAATATGACAAGAGTACAATTGCAATAAGGAAGGTTTATGGAATATTTAGAAATCATGATCACCAGTCTAACACATTCTTAGATTAAAAGATGAACATACGGAAATTGAGTTATCAAAATTTGCTACTTCACAATTTGGATTTTTTTTTAAATTAAGGGATATTTTTCGTTCATGCAAAGCTATGATTTCTTGACCGGATTTGGCTATAAAAAAAAATCATTTTTAGTGTCACCTCTTTATTTTTTACTGATTTTGTAAATGAGACCCGTGTCTATCGTACAAAATTATAAGTCGTGTATATTTGATTAATTTTATTATATATTCTAAACACGTTTAAACAAACGCAAATAATTAAAAAGAATAATAATAAGTATGGTATATCCATGACCATGTATGTTTGAGACGAAAATAAAACAGAAACACCACTGATATCGACACCTCGTAAGTTTTAATGTCACCATCTCGAATACTTGACCGATACAATATGTCTCCAACTTACTTGCAACGTATTTCGTTGGCCTTAATTTTATAGATACTAGAACAATCTTTTGAAAAAAGAGAGGCTAAAGATACAAAAAGGACATTCAAACTCTAAAGTCGAAAATAAATTGACGACGCCATGGCAAAAAACTAAAAAGACCAAAAGGCATACAACAGTAAACAGTTAATATAGAAAACTAAAGACTGAGTGACATGAACCCCACCAAAAAAACATGGGCTGATTTGGATGGGTAAGGATCGTGGTACACCTGAGGCACCCCTCGTGTTTCTCATGTAAATACATTTTGATATTTAGTATTGCACCCTCTGCATTTAACATGTTTCAGTTGTTTTTGTTGCTAACGTACACGATTGTCATCTAGAAGTCACAGATGACGATAACGATGTTGCTATAGCTGTTGCAGCTGTTGATGATGTCTGAAAAACGATCTGATGGCTCTTTTTGAGTATCTATTGTATCCTCGACTAAAGTTTGCAAAAATGTATACATAGGATAAATTCTCAATTTTATTAAAAATATATGCCAAGTGACTGTATTCAAGGACAACGAACTGTTCAATATTAATAAGATGAATGTCAAATGTATTCAAGGACAACTTTTTTTATATTCATTAAGACCAATGTCATACACATTTCCGACATAATTTGTGAAAATCGGCTTTTAATTGATCTTACGGTTGTCAAAAGCTACATACGTATGATTCGTATTACTTTTGTAATTTATTAGTTGTTTGTGCCTTCTCATCAATTGTATTCAACAAAAAACGCTATTCTTCTTTCAGTAGCAAAACTGTTAATAAGATTAAAACTTTAACCACGAAATCCTATAAATTAATGATAAGATTAACCTGAAAACAACCCTTGTTTTTGCTTGGGTTTATGTTCGTCAGTCTTTAGTCTACAATGTTTATATTTTTGACTGCTGTTTGGGGTTTTTACATTTTTTGTTTATTGTTTTCTTTTTTTTTTTTGGCATGTTTTTGTCAATTTTTTACGTCTTCAGTTTTTATTGTTCCTCTGACAATTTATGATATCTTCGGCCTCATGTTTTCAATAAATCTGGCAATAAAGGAAGTAATGTAGAAATCAATGAAAGTTGTGATGTTGAATTCAAGCAGTGAAATTTCTTTAATTAAACAAAAATTCAAATTGACAACGATAAAGTTTGTTTGCCTGATATCAGTAAGATGATATATGCAGTTGTGGTAGAATATTGTGAATTTGAGTTCAAAAATTGTTATTTCCGGCAATATTGTAGAGTTATTTCAGGACAACCATAATAATTTCGTTAATTTTTCTGTAAAAAATACGTTATGAAAAGTTGTGATTCTCAATGTCAACTTATGTCGTATTTATACTTTTAAGATCAAAAGTTATTATACTCGGAGATTCATTCATAAATTACAGTAGGTCTAAACAAATTTGACTTCATTAGCAACGATAGTCGACTGTACCAGAAATGTCTATACATGGTGAAAAAAAACGAAAGTTATATTCATCACAAACTTAATACTAGATTTGTAATTGCTAGCAATAACGGATGGCATTCTCGTCACCCAATGCCAGAGTAACGGAAGCTATTTTGAAAATTCTAACGTCAAAAAGTGAATCTACACATGCAACTTTATATTTTTGTAAAGTTTCATTAAGTTTGGAGCACTTTGAAATTTTTGCTGTTTCCATGGTAACGGCGGCCATTTTGAAAATTCCAATATCAAAT